ATTTTTTTTAATACCTTTATTACCCTGAATAACCTTGCAAAGGTTTTACGATTACGTTGTTTATTAAAAACTTATTAACCTAACCTAACCTAACCTAAAATCCAAATAACAAACCAACGTAAAAAAATTGAGTAAACTTTTACTCGATATCAATTAATTTACATTAACAACAATAAATCTAACCCAATTCGTTTCGTTAATACTTTTTAAACGAACAGCAACGATCGTCAAATAAAAATTTCGTAACATTGTCAGAGTGATGATATTAACAAAAAATCGAGATCGAATTTAAATTCGATAATTACCCATTTTATTTTTCCAACCAAAAAATTTACCACTCCTTTCCTTTCTTTTCAATAACAATCTACCACTCCCCTATTACAAACAATCTTTCGAAACAGAATCAAACTGGATCCTAGAATTGAGCTACTACAATTACAATCATAGGAGGAGAACGTCCAAGTCCAAGTCACGATCCTGTAAAATTACCAAGCCAATTCCACGACACGACGAGGATCGCTGGGCGCCATGCATTAACGCGGCGTGCATCGCGACGCATTAAGCGAAATAATTTATAGCGCGAAATTGTAGTCTCCGGGTGGGCCGGGTGACGTACATAAGACAAATGGCACAGAAACCAACGGCGCCCATAATCTCTCCGTACGCTCGCTGGATAACCGAATGGCAGGCCCACCGAACACACTGATCCCACGATATCGTTCCATTATACTCGGAGGCCATCGCGATGCACCGGCTCATCGGCCATTCACAACGCGATTCCCTTGATTCGACGGTTCAATTATCGATTCTGATCCGCCCTGTCGTCGTCGCCGCCGTGAACCTGCGCCGTTCTACGACCAACGATCCTCGCGAAGATCGATGAGAAATCGACGAGTTCTTTGTGAGTGGAAACTTAATAAGGGAACGCCGATTTTTCGTAGGAAATTTTTATAATAAGGTAAATATTTCGATGAAAAGATGTATTTTTTTTTTAATGTTATCTTGGGAAAAATTTTCTTTCTTTCGAATTGCAATGAGAAATTATTAAAAATATATTAAAAATTTGTTCTTCGATTTTTTTAATTGAATATTAATTCACACTTATGATAGTTCGCATAAATTACAGGTTAAAATAGGTGAATTTGGTTATTTAATAAATTTTATTAGAAAAATTATTTGATGATAACGGTCGTGATAATTAATTTTGTGAAACATGATTTTCAAGTTTTATAATTGATATTATTTTATAAATTTAATAAACAATTAATTAAGTTTAAAATACTCTGTTAAAATATTTTATAATTATCATTCGTAATCATATGTACATCAAGTTATAAAACAAGAAAAGAATTTTACCAAGCTCTAAAACACTTATTCCACTGTTCATCCGCCGTGTCTGAGCATGATTATACATATTCCACTTAAACCCCGTCCGCACTTTCCCACGAGTACTTCACCTCGGAATCCGCCATTTCTCCACAAACCTAACAGCTTACTTACGAGCAAGCTCGTAATTCACAGATTCCACTTCACTTTTTATTCGAAAATTCTATTCAATCAATCTGAAACTAGCATATAAAAACGTATAAGCAAGAAAATATTCCTCATTCGTGATACCATATATATATATACAATATAATAGAAAATTGAGATATTCATAATTAAAAAAAATGTTTGAATCTATTTTATAAATTTTATTCGATCGAATGATTTTCAATCTGTTTGAATATTTTTACATCTTTGTATTCTTTATAATTTGAATCTTAATGAATTATATTTTCATACATTTGAGACGACTATATTATTTATAACTGGATAAATCTCGAAATCTTTGTTAATATATCTGTAAAATCTCTTTGGATCAATTTCCAATAATCAAATCAAAAGATTTTCTATTCATTTAACGAGGAGAATTGAAGTTACAGGAATTCGTTCGACTTAAATCTCACTTATATCTCTAAATAAGCGTCAATCTTCCAATTATTCAAATATAAAAGAAAAAGAAAGAAACATTTTATATCGTAAAGATTTAATGGCAAGCAAATGGTCTAATTCCCCCCATAGAAACAGTCATAATTTATTCATCCTTTTGTCCACCACCACAACGTATATCCATCGTACTTTTGCCATGCAGATTAAATCACGTAGAGGAGATATCCACGTAAAGGTGCACAGGGACGTGCACCGATTCCCAAAGAGGTCCATTCTCGATGCATTTCCCACCCCCGATGCATAGCGACGTTTAAAACTGGGGAGGGAAAAATTATCGGCCGTTTTTCTCTTACTTGCATAAGCAATTTTACCTGGGATCACTTTGCTTCCGTGGAAACGTGTCGCGGATACGTGGTATTCTCCTTCTTCTCGAACTTCTGTCTCCTGTTGGATGGGAAGAAAAAGGGATATAAAAGGGAGATTTCACGATTGGCGGATAACTCTGGTTCAACAAACGATCCAGAATTCACGATCGTGACTCCGCCACGAGCGTATTTCATTCTCCCAAGTAATCCCCGGGTAATCCTTTGATTTATGAAGACCTAGCCGCGCCGCTTCTGCTCGTGATCAGCTCGTAAGCCAGTGAATCAGTCAGCCCGCTTTAATCGATCAGCAGTTTCGCCAAAGGTGCGTGTCCCCCATATCCTTGTTGTGTCTCGTCACGTAAGATGAACTTTTTCGATGAGCGTACTGTAATTATTGATAATCACCTTACTTAGCAATCATCTTCCCTTGCAATTCTCTACAATGAAAATAGTTTCGAGTTAAAGAGAAAAATTGAATAAATAACCGCAAGCCAAATTTTTTTTCCAAATTTTAACCAAGGTTTTACCCAATTCCAAAATTCTCAATTCGACAGGCCAATCACGGATCCCAGGATACCATTTATCGAAACAAATACAGGCTCCAATTAATGCAGGTCCAAGTTTCCAACTCACGAATCGAATCCAGTTTCCGGCCCCGGAGGAGAGCCGCGTAGCCACGGGTCCCGGGATGCCGGTTGAGCCGACGTGGCACGAAGGTTGCCGAGCAACCGGTGAATATGCGCAATTACCGGATAGGACCGGGGCGAGAACGAGCGAATGGACGCTCCAAAGAGTGGGAGTTGCCGAGGAGATTCTAAAATAGAATGTATCCCGCAATTACCCGGCCATCTAACGCGATCGAAGAGTAAGAGCCCCGGCAACGATTGCTGGTAACCGGAAGTCTGGCTTCGACGCGGCCCGTCGACGAACACCGCTTTCGTAAACTTTCGCATCCTTGGATCGATGAGAAAGTTTCTCCAGGAGTTTATCGAGGGATCTCGTTAGAAGTTGTGCGTTTTGTAAAAAGTTTGTGAGAGATATTTTTACGGGAGGATTGTTTTTCTTTTTTTTTTTTTTTAATTCAATTTTAAAGCTACTCTTAATTAAGTAAATTATTTATCGAATTAACGGGATATATGATGGGGATAGTACTTTTGAAAGGTTAGGTATCTACTTGCAGATATTTAATGTATATGTAGGCCGACTTGTAGAAGTCGTTTTTTTCATTTCACGTTCATAATATCGTATTAAATTTAATCATATAAAAGTCCTGCTAAATAATATGAAATTTAATATTTTCGCGGTTAAACGATTTTATTAATTGCATTACACATGATCCAATAACCGATTTTAACTAATTTTTCCTAAAAAAAATATATATATATATATATATATCAAGTATTTACATTTCATAAAATTGTATCTTTTAAAATCGTAGAAAAAAAAATTGGTTTCGAAGTAGGAGAGTGAAGTATCCACATCGAAACACGGCTCTGCCTCGAGAAGTAACACGAG